GCCTCAGTGGGCCTCAATGGCCTGTAAACATGACACTCTTACCTTTACTAGCTTGATTCAAAATAATATCAGATGATGAGGAGGAATCTTGCCTGGTCTGTAACATAGTAAGGATAGTTCAGAACATTTTGATAGAAGGGACAACGTCATAAGGAAGAAACTCCAAAACATCTGTATCCATATATCTGTGTAACATAATATTAGCTCAGTAGATGTTCGGTGGAGAGAGACACCACCACATTGTACATGTTGAGCCTGATTCACTACTTCATTACAATGGAATGAAAAAAAATACAAAGTGTAAGACTACCAAACCAGAATGGTAGGCCTTTGAATCCACTCTATACTTATTTTACAAAATAAATGAGTACAAGGTGAAAGACAGTGGAGAACCAGGCCTTTCCTCCTGCCTCCCCTTTAGTTCCTTCTCTGAATTTACCTTTTGCTTGATAGATAATGAAGGTAAATATTGTCTCTTCATTAGGATTGGATGAAAGAAAGTGGTTTTCCTTGATGATACGATGTGTCCGTATGATCTCCCTTGTATAGGATGTATACAGGGAAATAAGAATGAAGTTCCAGTAATTTTCTATTTTGGGAATCCCAATAATAGGATCAAATGAAACAGGAAATTACACATTTCTTTGAAACCATACTGCTGTTGTGTGCAAAAATGTACAGGCATCGGCCAGATCCAGTTCTTACGGGGCTAATTTATAATCGCTCAATCTGTCTGAAAAAGAGAAAGGGAGAATAGAACTAAATATATTGGTGTGAAGATTACTTACCCTGGAAAACAAACATAAAAGTACTAGAGATATAGTACATTAGGGAAAAGCAGTCTGAGAGGGAAAATCGACATCATACGTACTCCAAAATTGGGGGAAGCCATGATTGCATCTCATGAAATCTTCTGTAAAAAAAGAAAACAAGTTAGGTTAATAATCCTTATCTTAAATATACCAAAGGAAAAATGCTTTTATTGTTTATTTAGTGCAAGAATAGGATCTTTCTCCAAAAAATAGGAATTAGTAAAGTTCTTCAAGCACTTCTCTGCATTAAACAAAGAAACTGGAATCCATAAAGCCACATCATGAAAATCTTCTATCTTCAATTAGTTCTTAGTTTTACAACTCCCCTAGGCAAGTGCTCTTTTTAGACACTTATTTTAGGCCCCGATCCAAAAAAACATTTAAGGATATTCTTATCTTTAAGCACATGAGCATCCCATATGTTTCAGGTTAAACATGCATATAAGTACTTTGTTGGAATTAAACTTTAAAGAATTTACAAAATTGGCCTTCATTGAGGGAAAAAGTCTTAATTAAGGCTAAGGAGAAGTGGGCTGAGATTGGAAGGTTTATTAGATAGCCCAGCTAAGTACAGTAGGACAAAAAAAAAGAAAAAAAAAAGATGCTTTCATATTTACTTGAATATAACATGATGCTGAATATAAGACAGCCTCTCAATAATTAGATTCTATATATGGAAAATGTATAAATCTGTTTTAATTTTCCAGGGATAGAATCTATTTATTGGAGGTTTGCTGTGAATTTGTCCCCTTCCCACTGCCAGAGAAGGGAAAATCTGGGAGGTCAGGTAGCCCCCTTGCCCTCTGCCCTCCCCGCTTCTCCCCTCCTGAAGCTCCTTTCCTCCCTCCTTACTGTCTGACCTTGCTCTCCCTGAGCACATGAAAGTGAGAGCCAGGTTTGAAAACACCGACCTTGGAATAAACGTACAAATAAACCCATAGACTTCATTCATCCAGAACTTATGCATTTTGCCTTTTTTTGAAAGTGCTGCAAGTTTTAGTACAGGTACTCTATAAACATGCTTTTAAGCAGCATTTTTATACCTTCTAATATAGAGTACAAACTGTGCATGATATTAGTTCAAAGCCAAAAGATTTACCGTATAGTTCATTGGGCTGGGCCCCAGCAGGGTCAACAGCATTTCAAGCCATGGTGACCCTACAGCTCAGCACTGTGCAGTATATGTGTGCACTCTAGATATAGACCCCTCTACAAAGGAGTCATGTGCTAGTTATCTCCACATGACGGGAACTTGGTCTACTTGTCAAGAGTCCTGGGGTGCTACAAAAATATATATGCAGATGAGGCGCAGGACAAGGTGGTCCAGCAATACTTGAAGGAGGGCGGAGCCACACTAATCTAATGCAACAGGCTGAAAGGGGGGGGCCATAGAGGGATTCTGGGTAAACTATTTGGGACCCTGTTTGGTGATGTTTGCCTGATGTTTAAGGCTGGTGAAGAAACAGGAATCATTGGAAATGGGAAAGGCAGGTGCAACTCAGCTGTGGGAGTGAAAAGAAAGTGTTCAGTGTTGCGGCTTATTATAACTTGAAAAACAGTCTGTGCTGAAGGGCGAGTGTGTGCAGTGGGTGCTACCGGATATGTATTCAGATGGGCTGCATTAACTTATCCTTGTGGTAGATTCCCATTGGCATATCAAATGTAGTACTTTTGGTACCCAAGAGAGGGTGTCAGGGCTGGTTCTGGCTCTCCTTGTGCCTGCCTGGGATAGCAGTACTTTCAGGCCTGGTGCCAATTCCCTGCAGAGGGAACACCTGGGCCGCACCAATAAATAAATAAATAAAAAAGTTCCCACCAGTATGTTTGCCAAATATGGGCCACGTGTTTTATAATCATGATCAATGTTGGCTGCATTTAATCAACTTCATGGTTGGTTTCTGTTACTAAGCACAGGCTCCTTTTGGCAGCAATTTAATGATAGACACTGTATTTAATGAGGTTTCCTTGTATGTGAATGTAAGTTGAGGGGCTTATCCCCTCATGCTGATTGGGGGGAAAAACCTCATCTTGTATTGTATACTTTGGGGGGACAAAACTGCATGTGCAAATATAATGCCTTCCCAAATCTGGTGAACCTCCCTAAAGAGCACTTGAACTATTGATATACCACTAAGCAATCAAGTTCTCAAACAACTTTTATTCCCTTCTTACATGCATCTTCTGGTAGGATGACTGCAGAGTGTTACAGAGGGTGATCCGTTGCAAATTCAAGATCAAGTGAATAGTAGTGGAAAAAACAAGAGAGTGCAAGTTACACATAAGTCTTTAATAGGATTTTGCAGGGTAAAGGTTTAAAGGTTTGATGCTGTTTCTTAGGATTTCTAACACTTATATGCATTATTTGAGATTAATTTATTTAAATATGAAAAAAAATCAAGGCTGTGTGAAAACCATCTGGTAGTAGTTGAAAGTGTAGTGTAATACATTTCTTTTAATTGCTGTTTTGCCTTTAATCTTCAAATCTTTTCCCCTCCCCCTGCCCTCTTTCTCATGGGTTTGAATGTAGTGTGCACCAAGAAGACACATTCCATGGGCAGTTTCATCCCCAGTGACATGGAGGATTGTCCGGGAGGTGGAGTGCCAATAAATCTTTGGACATATGGCTTTACATGTCTAATCCATTGTTTGCTCTAGTAACAAATTATCCCCCCTTCTCTTGCTTCAATTTAGCCCTGCTGTGCAGCAAGTTGGGAAGATGAAGGCAGTGCTTTATCAACTCCTTTCCGATTATTATTAGTAATACATATTTATATGATGATGACACCCAAAAGCTTATAACCCCGTTGCATTGGGTACTATACAATTCTTGCTCTAAGGGCGTAAAACTTAAATGACATCAAACAAGTCTGGGGCTCTGGGTACAAGGTGCCAACAAATGAAAAATTGGTGCAGATTTATGTGAATTGCACTAGGTGCAAAAGTAGCAGCGTCTTTCTTTTCCAATTGGAATAAGAGAGATGGAAGGAGAAGAATAAGGATAAGAAAGAAAAAAAGGTGAAAGAAACATAGTCTTTTATTCATCTCTCCACAATCAGCAGAGATGGGCTTTTGTAGGCATCACAGTAGAGAAAAGAGCTGGTAGAAACAGTAGAGAAGTGTGAATGGCATAGAAATACCATGAGAAAGACAGGGAGGGAAGGTGAGAAGGAAGAAGGTGAAAAAAGACAGACAGCAGTGAGCTGTGGGAAAGCTCAAGGCAGATACCTGCTGGGAAGCACAGATAGGTAAGTGCAATCAAAGGAAAATAATTCAAGTCCAGGCTGCTTGAAGTTCCTGACAGAAGCCAGGAAAGATAAGGAATCAAAGTTTAGAAATTGAGCAAAGGCCTTTGTTCTGTCTCCTGATGGTTTGTCCCTGATGGCTGTCTCCCTCTGAGCAGGAGCAGGGAGATGGTGGCATTTACTCTCCTGGGCCCAATCTAGCCCAGTTTATCTGAATCTGAGATTGTGGAGTGCTTACGGGTGCAGAAAAAACAAAACAAAACAAAACAGTGCTTTACTTTCATCTTGGTGTACTCCTGCACCAGGGGCAGCACATGTCCAGAAGAGGAATCATGTCAGTTTGACCCAGCTCGCCCAGCATCTGTATAGCTCATGTGCTGAAGCAGGACTTTTCGGCACTTTTATCTAATATCTGTTTGGATCAGCTATTAGATAAAAGCACCAAAAAATCCCGCTGAAGCATCCTGGGGAGCTGATTCAAACTGATGCAATATTATTCTTCCAGTAAAGTGCTGGTTTTTGGGGGGTTTTGGGGTGGGGAGGGGGTTCCACATCAGTCAGCAGCCTAATATCTATGCATCCAGTTCCACAGAGCTTATAAGGCTGTCTAAACAAAACCTTTTAATAATATTACAACTCAATTTAGGGCTAAAAGTGAGGAAAAAAATACATGTCAGTGGCTTCAAATTAAGCTATATTCATAAAATCAAATAATTTTGCTCACTTTTAGGTGCTTATTTAGCTTTATAAAAATGGACAAGATGTTTAATAGTAGGATATCCTATTTTGGCAATGCTGGCAATGTTGACCTGAAGCATGTTAATGCGTGAGTGTATTTACCATGCTACCTGACAGTGACTGTACCTCTGCTCCCTGTTTACTTCTTCAGTGTAAGAACTTACTGTATTTATGGTCCTGGTAAGTGTTTTCTTTTAATTTTTTCTAGGTGCTGCACAATGGTCTTATCATGGAAATGGACCACCCAACAGCAGGGAGAATCGCTGTTCCAGGTTGGAATATTTATTTCTTCTTTTTTAAATGGACCTTAAAAAAAAGCTTCATGAAGTACTAAGTACTTCCAGAACTAAGCTTAAGAAGTGATATATCCTGCTATTTCAATTAAAGGAACAGAAGTTTGACTGACGGATGACATCAATGCTCATTTATGCTCCAATAGTGTGATGGGGTAGAAGTGGGTTGAAATGTGTGTTGGACCATCCCACCGTTTTCATAGATCAGTTCTCCTAAAACATGAACATGGACTCATGGATTTCATAATATTTGCGAATGCTCACAGCTAGAAATATTTGTATTAAGCTATCTGATAGGACATAGGAATCTGCTTTTGATTTAGATCTGCTTTGAGAGTTATACAAACTGTCCTTTAGGGCCTTTTTAATAGAAAAAGGAGGGGTGGGAGGAAGGGGAGTCTCACATTGGAGCATATTCCAAGACACTGTGTTTTTAGGCTCATAGAAATTAGATAGCAGGGCTGACAATAAAGATGTCTTGTTCTGAAAGGATTTCAGAAGGACAAAGATTTGAAGTTGCTATTTCTCTCTTTTTTTTTTGTGATTGAGAATGACTGAACAGAAGTGCCCTACCTGTGCTACCAGAGAAGGCAAAGTTAGAAATCTTACTAAGTCCAATAGGAACCATGATAGGTAGATATTATTTTTAAGGAAATCTGGGACACTGCTCCCCTGCCCCTCTTCGAGCTGATCCCCACCCCAGGCAGGAGGAGTGGTTTCCAGCCCAGTGCGCCCCCGCCCCCAATCTTTCCCCACCTGCGGACTCCAGCTGCTTCTCAGGAGAAGCTGGGCTGGGCAGTGTGGGCAGAGTGACACCAATCCAGGACTTTTGTCTCCATTCTCACCAACCAGCTGTGACATTAGGACGGCCTGAGACTGCCCCAGCCAAACCAGGTGGTATGGTCACTCTAGTGATAGGCTATCATGGAGTACTTGTGAAAATCTCAACCTGAATGTTCACACTTGAGTCCATTTCTGACCCCAGTGCCTTTTCTAATATTTGTCTAACTGTGAGGTGGTTTCTCTATGTGTTCTTCTATCAGAGACTTTGACTTTTCTTCCTCCATGCAGAGCAGCACTTCAGTTATATTTTGTAATATTGTCTCTTTAACATCTAATGTGAAAATTCCATCTTCTAATACAGCATACAGTTCTCATCAATTTCAACTGAGTTGTACACACGTAGCTGTAGGAAGAATTTGACCTATACAATTTCTCTTAGATTGCACATCCTGGAGTCACACTGGGTTACAGAAAGAGTGATTAGAGAGGAATGAAGTTCATATCATTTCATCTTTCCTGCATGGATACTTTTTTATATGCCTCATTTTTGGTCTTTATTCTACTTTCTATTTTACTTTTAGGCCTTTTCAGGTTGAGGAATTTAATTGAAAATACACTAATGTGCCTCCACAATTGAAGTGGACGTTCTTGATAATGTACCGCCTGATAATTGAGTTTTCAGGAAAAAAAGAAATCTATTTTGTCTATTCAAAATGGAAAGGCAAACAAAGGTTTTGGTTTCATTTTTTTTTTAACCAGGTAGAAAAGCTTTGCAGATGGCAACAGGAAAAAGTATGTAAAGTTTTCATTTTGCATGCAATACATAATCTATCTTTGAGAAATAAAATACTCCTTGAGGGGCTAGGTTAAACTGCAAGAAGAGGAGGGAGATGAAAGGAATGTTCTAACAATCTGTCAGCAGAGATAGAAACCACTGGCAGGAGAGTAAGTTTTCACATAGGCAAACTACAGTGCTTTCCAAATCCTTGGCTATTTTTTACTTTATTAAAACTCAAAACCTGTGACAGTGCATTGAAACGAAAATAAATCATCTTATTCTCTGATGGTTAGCCATTTAGATGGGCTTCTATGAAGGGCTTGTTGTATTGAAGCAGATGGCTATAATGATTATTGGACAGTTGAGCAGGAAAAGCAAAATTCCTTCCTTTCCTGGCATAGAGTAGAGGAAGGAGGCTGAATGAATAGAATGATATTATATGGTTCTGCCTATAACTTAAAAAAGTGAACCTAGAGCTTGATTACTATTGAATGTAGATTTTGGGAGTATCCTATGTTTTCCTAGGGCAAGTGTTACACACGTATTTTGGTTTACAAAGACAATTCACTTGTAGGTTAACCATTTCTCAATATCCATTTCAAGTATTTAAGTGGTTTCCAATGTAGTTATATTCAGCCATTCAATAGGGGCTACCTCCAATAGGTAACGACTTTTTACTCGGAATTTCGTGAGGGATTTCTCTGTAAATGCTAGACCATGAGTCTCACTATTGTAAAAACTTGTATTCATAATACCACTGGGGAAGTTGTGGGCCCAAGACAAAGCAAGGAAGCATCATCAGATAATATTCTTGGCCCTAAATTTGCATTCATAACTATAACACTGCTCCTTCCCAACTTGCTATTAGGGCTGTGTGAAATTTCACTGGCAGTTTCATTTCGACACTGTTTTGACTTGTTTTGAGCTCGAAACAGCAAAATCGACACGAAACAGAGAGCTTTGAAACAGCCTTGAAATGAAACAAGGCAAGTTGAAATATTTTGAAAATTTTTAAAAGTTTTGAGTTTCAAAGCTGAAGCTGGGCTTGCCTGCAGGGAAACAGAACTAAAGTAAAGAGAGGGAGGAGGAAGGGTGTGGGGGGGAAGGAGTGCTTTTATTATTGACTGTGTAGCTGGCTAGTGACTGTGATCCTTTCCTGAGGTCTCGTCCAATCCCAGTGCTCTGGGGGAGTGATGGAAAAACTGCATAAAAGGCAGCATTGTTTGAACTGCCCTGCTTTCTGCCTTGGTGTCACTTGGGTGAGGATGCACCTGAACATACGCACAGTGTCACCCACCCGTGTCACGAGTTTTGCCTGTCAGCAGCTAGAGGTGCAGGGCCCCAGAACCCCTGCACCTCTCTCCTTGACAGATGGCAGGCTTTGTGGCCTCAGCAGGGGCTACCGTGCCTGCAGTTTTGATCCCACTGTGGCTTAACACATACACGTGACATGAGTTTTTTGCTTTCAAGACTTTGAGGTGCAGTTTTCTTGAAGCCCTTGCACTATCGCCTTGAAACTTGGCAGGCTTCATGCCCTCACAAGGTGCTATCATTTCGGCGTGTTTCATCCAAATTAGGCTAGAAATGACAAAGTTATAGGCTGTTTTGAGATTCCCCATTATAGTCTATGGGAAAAAATGTCAAAACAGTGAAACTGTTTTGATGAAACGAAATGGAACAGCGGTTTCAACGCGAAACGAAATTTGAAACGAAACGCTGTTCCGTTGAAACGTAGCTATCATGCCCATGCTGCACCAGCTGTAGACATATAAAAATCAACAAGGAAAATCACCAGTAAATATACATTGCAGTTATCTAGCCTTGAGGTAACCGGGATATGTATCACCTTGCCTAGGTTTATGTATATTAAAAATGTGTGCAGTCTTTAGTTGGCTGGATGAAGAAGTAAGCAGTTCTGGCCAGTGCTACCAGATAAGGTCCCAGGAAAAGCAATTCAGCTGAGACTCTGCACCACTTTCTCTGTAGAGAGCAAGTGGTTCATCGGTCAGGTGAGGAACAGATTTTGCATTGTGGCACACCATTCTTTTCATCTCTTGAGATCATCTTCACATGCTTGAAGAATTAATCTGAACTCAGTTGAGAACTGTGGTATAGTGTTTCATTTTGGCATAAACTCCTGGTCCTGTGTTCAGATCATCCACATTAACTAGTCAGTGTAAAGAACCATCCTTTTTTCATTGGTTTTCTTAAATTGTATTGTGTAAGCAAAAAAAATATTTTTTAATAATCAGGTTTTTTTTTAATTGTCTGGTTGGTGTGGTTTGGTAGAAATTACATCAGAGCTGTTTCTTTGTAACTGTTATGTTGTGGTCCTGAAAGAAGAATAGATTTCTGGTTAGGAATCTGGGAATAAGGAAACCTGGATTTCTTCCTTTTAGTTATGCAGATTTCTTTTGTAACATCAGACCAGTCATTTAACCTGTCTTTAAAATGCATGTTTTCCTGTCTTTAAAAATGAAGATTCAGCAGGGGTTCCATATTTCTTAATCTCTTAACATCTAAAAACCTCTTTGATATCTTCAGAAGGAAGTAGTTATAGAAATGCCAAAGTGTGTGTGTGTGTGTGTGAGAGAGAGAGAGAGAGAGAGAGAGAGAGATATTTTGTCCAGGCAAACAAGGCAGACTCGGACTGATTACGAAGGTGAAAACTGCTATTCAGTTTTAGTATATTCCCTCAGATGCCAGAAACCACAGACTCTTGTTAACTTTACGCTGCATTTTTCAATCTTGAAGTGTGAGGGAGAAGGGAAGATTCATAGGACTAGATATATGGTGGCATGTATTCATCAAAAATTGTCCTGCATTGAGGGATTTTGCAGGAAATTAAGGAAATATGTACTAGAGTACATTGTTTCCTGCAGCTAGGGGATCCCACACTACAGAAACAATAACAACACCATGCAAAAATTCCAGCAATTCTCTGCACACATCATTACTTGAACTTCTGATCCTGTCTGCTTCTCATCACACGTGTGTGTGTATGTGTGCACGCATGTGTGTGCATGTGCACATAGCTGAAGTTGATTGAAAATTTTTAATTTCACTTCACTATTTATGGAGCATTGGAGACAAACAGCTTCACCAGCATTCCTGTTACCTCATTCGCCTTTTTTAGTCATCAGTGCTAAGTGTTTATGTCTTTTACATTCGCGGAGTTGATTTCAATTTTTAGGAATTCGGTGCCATTACAGGAACTCAGCAGAAATGATGTATGTCATCTCGCTTGGCTAGCCTCAAAATACTTTAAAAAAATCTTAATAAATTTATATGCTGATAATCAGCATATTGATACTGATTGCAAAACCAGAAAAGAGGTGGTGGGGAAGATAATGAGTATGTTATAAGTTTGAAGGCTTATGCAGAAAGATAAGGAACTGGTTTTATTTTTCAAATATGC